ATGGGCAGACTAAAATTACCATGTCACAGGGTACACACGTGGATAACAAAACCATCAGGAGACTCAAGGTTACTTCTGGAGAGAGGGTGGGGACTGTGATTAGTGTGGGGAACCTGAACAGGATAGTGGAGTAGCTGGCAAAGTCCCATTTTGTTGCAGTTTATTTGTTTGGACCTCTATTTTTATTATACAATGAAGAAGATTTCGTTTAAGTGTCTATTGAGCTAACATTATTGACCAAAAAACGTTTCAATAGAGCTGTAGAACAGAAGTTCAATTACCATGAGATAAGGAACAAAAGGAAAGCCAGAAAGGGAGACAACAAATGTCCACTACTGTGTCTAGCAGTGTGGCAGGAAGGGGAGGAAAGAGATAAAGGGTTAAGGATAACACAGAGCAGAAAGAAAGGTTTTCCCTTTTCTCTTTGCTTGTTTGCTTTCAAATGAGTGAGATGCGAACATATTTATGTGCCACAGGGAAAGAAGAAACATAGAGGGGAATGCTGGAGATACATCTGAGAGAAAGACCATTGACAGAGCTGGATCCACAAGGAGAAGAAAGGGAATAAGATCAAGAAAACAGCTAGCAGGTTGATCTTAAGTCGGAGGCTTGAGAGGTCATTTGTACCAGGACAAAGGAAAGGAAACAAAAGGTGGGCTTTATTTTGGGGTGAGCTTATAGTGGAGGGCTAGCAGCAGAAAGTTGAAGTTCCCACACGCTGACCTGTGTGTTCTCTGTGAAAGAGGAAGGGGAGACCTGCTAGTGTAAGTAGTGGGTCGGGGTCTAAGGTAACCAGCAAATGTTAAAATATCCAAAGCGGTGTTGAAAGTTCCATAGAGATTGTAAACTGAATTTGTGGAGATACCAGGTCATGCCATTTTGTCATTTTCTTCAGCAACTTGGGTGCAGAAGTAAAGAGCATACAGTTAAACTGACGAACTGTTTGTCGTTCATTGTTCAGATTAGACTAATTAGGCAGGAGAGTTGAAATCACTGGCAAGGAACTGGTTGTGGTGATGGGGAAGGAAAGAAGGAGGGTACTGATAAAATGGGGCCAAGGGTCGAGACAACTCCAAGGCTTAAGAGACTGAGTGAATAGAGATTTAGGGATAAACACAGATTTTAAAGGAAAGATGATGAGTTCATTTTTAATATTTCAGGTTCCTACATCCAGTTCTATATGTGAATACAGATGCACAGATAGGAGATCTGGCTTGAAGCTACAGATGGTGAGTCATCAGCTTAAAGATAGTACCTAAAACCACAAAAATATACAGATTAAAAGTAGAATCTATTTTTTAAAAAACTGAACAATCCTGAAACACACTCTGGTTTAATTGTCAGGTAGAGAAACAGCAACTATCAAAAGCCCCTGGAATGGACAGGCCAGAAAAATAAGGGAAAAATCCACGTGAATATTGTCCCAAAAGTCTAGAAAGGAGTGTTTAATGGGGGAAGTGGTTAAAATGTTAATTTGCTGTGTAGATTTGCAAAGATGATTATCTAAAAGATGCCTTATTCATCTTTGTTTTCTGGGACAAATGTGTGGCACATAGTTGGATCTAAATCAATGTAAACTTCTATGCTTTGTCCATTCCAATACCTGCAAGTCTCACTCCAACACTGTGTTAGAGTTATTTTTTAAAAATGAAAAAATAATATACAAGAATGAAGGAGGGGAGGGATGGGAAGGGTAAAAATATCTCACTCACCCCAAATGCTCCATGGAGCCATCCCATGTCACTCCATCCCAGATCACTTAAGGTCCTCCTACAAAATAAGACACAATCTGAGTGACCCCAAACCTCCAGTGTCTGTGGGATACAGACTGACTCACAGCAACAGTAAAAATTCATTTCCTGGCTCTTGGGCCCACGTAAAACAATGTAAGACTTCCAACAGCTTGAGAATGTCCTACCCCTCACCAAAGTGTATTAAACCCAAGATGTGTCTCACTGGTGCTTATGATGAGATTCTCTCATGAGCTCTTACTGGGCGGTTCAGTTCCCCAGCCTGTCACTTCAAGGGCACTGAGGTTTCTGCTAGATGCAGCTGTGGATCCCTCACCGTGTTATACCACTACCAGGCACACCCCTGAAGTCTTGTGTCAAGCATCAGGGCTAAAGAACCCTCAAAGTGCCAAAAGTCCATGGCTATCTGTGGGGAACCGTGCCCTCTCCCCTTTGGGTGTCATCTGTCAGAGGTGCCCCAAAGCAGTGTTCCTCCTGTTTCCACTGCCTTACAGACCTGAGTGGAAGAGTTCTTTCCATTCTTTTTACTCATAGACCTCTTTTTCTCTCTAGGACTTAGAAATGGGTTGCTGCTATATCCATTTTTTCATATTTGTCCATTTATTTCATAAGTGGCAGGGGCAGGGGGCGGTTAAGTGCTCAGTTTTAGAGTGCTTAATTTAAAAATTAAACCACATAAATGAATTAGAGAGAACTGACTTGGGTTATAAGTTATTGAAGTCAGTTCAGAAGTCATTTTGCAACAGGTTCCATGAAAATCAGAGCAGTTGCCATTCTCAGTTCTCTGTCTCTGATGATCTCTGGGCATTTTTCTACTTCTGTTTCAAATACGAGATTAAAAGCTCTCTCCCCACATCTTCAGGCCAAATTCCCAAGAAAGAAACTGACTGGTCAAGCTAATTACCATTGCTCTTGCAAGACATTTGTGACAGGACATCTCATGGGCCACTTATCCACCTTTGGGTCAGCGGTGGCCACAAGGTAGCCTCAAGTGGCACCAGCATGAATACATGCAGAAAGAGCCTCCCAGAAGAGGTCTATGGGCATGGCAAGCATTCTCAGGCATGATCTTCCTCCACTAGGAAATAAGAATTCCTATACACAGCAATCTTCAGCAGAGCTAATATACTGGGCACACAGTAAGTTCTCAAATAGTTTTAGTGTCATGACTTAAAAAAAAAGACTCATTTCCTTTACATGACATCTAAGTTCATTTAGGATATATCTCAATTCATCTTTCCAGTTCTATTTATTAATATCTTCCCTTGAACTCTAATAATAGAGGGGTACTAACAGCATAACTTGCATTTTTCTAAGAATGTTACATAATTCACTGATTTAATCACCACAACACAAAGTACTGTTATTAACCCTATTTACCAGTAAGAAAACTGAGGCAGAGAGGTTAAGTTCTTGTACAAGGACTCATACATAGTGAATTCAAAACCAGGTAGCTGGGCTTCAAAGCCCAGAAGTTAATCACTAAACCATACTGTCTCTCAAATATCAACCAGTATTACTAATACAATAACAATAAGTAAATAATGGGTACCTTCAATGATTTTTATCATGCATCCAGCCAAAGGAAGGACTAAGAATTCTACACATAGAGATGCAAAACTGGTATTTTGCCCCGCTGCCATTATGAATAAACATTTGCATCATAATTCATAGCCAGAAACAAAGCTGCAGCATTTCCTCTAAAGCACTGCATTAGCTGCACCTCAACTTTTGTTTGATATATTCCATCTTTTCAGGTCAGTAGATCTTCTCATTTCCATTGTGATTTCTTCATCAACCCACTAAATACTTAGTAGTGTTTTGTTTCAATTCCAGGCATTTGGGGAGTTTTTGTTTTCTTCTTTACTTCTAGTTTAAGTCTATTGTGGTCAGAGAAAACACTTTGAATAGTTTCAGTGCTTTGAATGTTGGGGCTTTCTTTGTGGCTCAGCATATGCTCGATTTTGGTAAATATTCCATGTACATCAGGCTTCCTCTATTTCCAACTATTTCAAAGGACTGACCTTAGCTGAGAAAATCTCGAAGGTCCCTTCCGACACCAAGTTTTGGGAATACTGAGCATTTGGGAATACTGAGCATAATACTGAAGAGTTAACTGTAGTTCTTACTTGTCTTCCAGTTACTCTTTTCCCCTTGATTCTTCAAAATGTAATACATATTGCTTCTAATTAAAAACAGAGGAAGAAAAAGCCACTTGTATTTGCCCGTTCAGTTCTACGCTCTTCTCACAGACGAGGAGACGCGGGCCACCGCAGATGCGCGGCTCTCAAACGGCGGGGTAGCCTCGTCCCGTCCCAAACCCGCCAGTCCTGGAGCACATGCGCATCCTCGAGGCCCCGCCCCCGGCCCCGCCTCCCTCAGCCAGGGCGGGCCGAGGGGCGGGGCCCGCCACGGCGTGCTGACGTCAGAGAGGGCT